CCCCCCCCCTTCTCTCTCCCTCTCTCCCGCCCTCTCTCGCTGTCGGGATAGCTACAGCAGTACAATAACACTGCTGTGTGTTGTAAAATGAACTTATAGCGGACACATGGGTCTGAATTACATAAAATACACATGTGCCATCGTCCTTCACTATCACTTTACAGTGTGGGGCGTCTCTGTTGCGCTTCACATGTATAATGCTGCTATACTAAGTTCCTACGCATGCATTTCATTACCATACATAGAATGTCACAAACCTGCCAAACCATATAAACCCACTACATAGGTAACATAAGTTAAGGTCATTCGTAGTATACAGTGGCATGTAAACCAACATATTATAATGAAAGCTGCAGTAAGTATATTGACAAAATTAAGCAATGTAGATCTAGACATTCTCGTTGTAAGTTTTAACATTTTCACATAGAGTACTTTTATGATAAAATTAAGAAAACTTTTTAAATACGTGTGATCCGCGCTCATCTGTATAATAATATGACCTTGTGAAGACGTGAGCGCGGAAAACTTTCACCGAACTTAAAACAGAAAAATAATCGTTTGAAATAATTTTATTATTGAACCGCAAGTGGGTTTGGACGCTTGTACCAGGGCTTGTGTCTTTAAATTAAAGTTTCTGGCCGGTCACCTTACCTAAAAGACGCAAGTGAGTAAGAGTTTTACGACACTTGCAACACAATATATGTATTATGGTCATATAAGTGCCGAAAATTATACGTGTTACAAGTGAGTAACAAACGAAAAAAAAGAAGAAAAAAAAGAGATAAAGACGATGGATGTTTGATAGGAAAGAAGGAGCAAACCACACCAGGGCACCCGCCAACCCACCACGCAAGTTCGAAACCAGTGTTTAGAAGATTAATTTCCATTTTAGTTTAGGGCTCTACTTCATCTGTGTGTCGGGCTAAGAGATGAGAGGCTGGGTCAAATTTAGCCCGCCTCTTTTGCATTGCAAATTAATGATCTTATCTGTGTTAATAGAAACGTTGTCCTAGAAAAAAATGAAAATAAAACTGTTGCTCACACTACATCGTGCGCTATCCATCAGGTCAAAATCAATATGTGAGGCAGCGTGGTGGAATCAGGCTCTCGTCAATTTTTGGGCATATTGGGTTATTGGTATTATCTTAAAGCTTGTTCATTTGTCTTGCTTTCAATGAAAAAAATTACCCATCCATCTTCAATAGAAGTGGAGATATTTTGAATTGAAGGAGGTGGGAGTAACCTGATTTAAGAGGTAAAATTAGCGAGAAAATGGCCTCCAAAGCTTGGTAAATCCCAAAGCTGGAGAGTCCATGGAAACTAAATTTATATTTTTGTGCCTTTAATCAACGTTTCCGGTTAAATCCTCAAAGGAATGGGTTTGTAAATGGACAGAAAAGGTGTTGAGCTAAAAAACAAAAATTTGATAAAATTGCAAAGCAGGCAGAAAAAATGTTTTCTACGATTTCATTATTTTGACGAGAGCCTGATTCCACCACGCTGCCTCACATATAATCTTTTTTAAAGTCCGTATCGATACAATATTTTAGATCATTTAGGAGGCCGGATACCGACCTTACCTGTTCGGGCTAACCCAGGCTGAAAGTGAGAGATACAAAATCCCAGCAGAAAGACTGCGATACTCGAAACTTATTTAATGCCCACCCGGGATTTGAACTTGGGTCTCCTGCGAGCGACAACGGGGCGCTTAAAAACTAGATTACACCGCAGACGCCAGTGAAGTGAATATAAGTCAGGTTATGGGCCTATACATGTATCTAACTAGTTCATAGAGTGTGAATTGGTTTATCCTCTCTGATTGGTTAGTCAATGGATCTCGGGCGATGGTTACTTGATCTTGCACTTGCAATTGCGTAGAGTTATAGTTGTAAACTTATTGATAGTGGAGACACAGGGGTGGTCACGAGGTAATTCGGTCACTACAATTACCCATTATACATTGTACTTGCGTCAAGGGCACAAGTCTCAGCCAATCTTGAAGCAGGGATAGATAGATAGATAGATAGAG